ATTTTGTCTCTCCAATGTCATTATTTTCTTAATTTCTCTTTCTGATTGTTCATTACTGATGTATAAAATGCAACTAATTTCTGAATATTAACTTTTCATCCTGCTACCTTACTGAACTCATTTATCAATCCTAAGAGTTTTTTTGGTCAAATCTTTAGATCTCTTTTTTAAAAAATATATATTTTATTGATTTTTTACAGAGAGGAAGGGAGAGGAATAGAGAGTTAGAAACATCGATGAGAGAGAAACATCGATCAGCTACCCCCTGCACCCCCCCCTACTGGGGATGTGCTTGCAACCAAGGTATATGCCCTTGACTGGAATTGAACCTGGGACCCTTTAGTCCACAGGCCAATGCTCCATCCACTGAGCCAAACCGGCTAGGGCTAGGTCTCTTTACACACAGTATCATGTCATCTGCAAGTAGTGACAGTTTCATTTCTTTCTTTCCAATTCGGATTTCATTTGTTTGATTTTATCGTCTGGTTGCTGTGGCTAGGACTTCCAATACTATGTTGAATAAAGTGGTGAAAGTGGAGATCTTTGTCTTTTTTTGCATCTTAAGGAAAATGCTTTTAGTTTCTTCCTGTTGAATATGATGTTACCTGTGGGTTTGTCATATATGGCCTTTATTATTTTCAGGTACCTTCTTTCTATTCCCACATTGCTGATAGATTTTATCATAAAAGTATGTTGGATTTTTTTCAAATGCTTTTTCCTGCATCTATTGATATGATCATATGACTTTTATCCTTTATTTTGTTCATGTGGTGCATGACCTGAATTGATTTGCAGATATTGTACCAACCTTGCATTCCAGGAATAAATCCCAGTTGATCATCTTTTTAATGTATTGCTGAATTTGGTTTGCTAATATTTTCTTGAGGATTTTTGCAATTAGTTTATCAGGAATATTGGCTTAATATTTTATATGTTTGTAATATCTTTGCCTGGTTTTGGAATTAGGATAATGCTGGATTCATAAAATCAATGTGGTAGCCTTTCCTTTTTTTGAAGTTTCTGAAATAGTTTGAGAAATATAGGTGTTAGTTCTTTGAATGTTTGGTAAAATTCACATGTGAAGCGATCTAGTATAAGAGTTTCTTTTTCTAGTATATTTTTATTGATTTCAGAGGAAGGGAGAGGGGGAGAGAAGGAAAGAAACATCAATGATGAGAGAATCATTGTGTGACTGCCTTCTGCATGCCCCCCACTGGGGATCGATCCTGCAAATGGGGCATGTGCCCTTGACTGGAATCTAACCTAGGACCTTTCAGTCCGCAGGCCGACACTCGATCCACTGAACCAAACCAGCTAGGACTGTTGGGAGTTTTTTGATTCGATTTTGTTGGTAGTAACCATTCTGTTCAGATTTTCTGTTTCTTTTTGATGCAGTCTTAGAACATTGTATGTTTCTAGGAATGTATCCATTTATTCCAGATTATCTTTTTGTTGTCATATACTTGTTCATAGTATTTTCTTACAATCCTTTTTATTCCTATAGTGACTTGTTCTCCCTTATCCTCTTTCATTTCTGACTAGTTAAAAGGGAATTAATTAGAGGAAACATTTTAATATTGCTATTTGCCATTTCTCTATATAGAAGTGTCAGAGATGAAAGAAAATTAGTAAAATGTATATGAAAATCTTTCTCCTGTCAGAGTCTGGGGCATGCCATGGGAACCAGAGTCAAGGCCCCGGCCACCCATGTGCGCCTTGAAATCGCGCAGATCCAGACCCAGCCAGCCCCACCCCCGTCAAGCCCTGCTGGGTGAGGGGTGCGGCCTGACATTCCCTGGCCCAGGCTGGGGGGTGCACCTTGAGGTCCCCTGGCCCGAGCCAGGGGGCATGGCCTGAGGTGCCCTGTCAAACCTCGCCAGGTGGGGGGTGCAGCCTCAGATCCCCCAGCCCGGCGCTGGAGCGGGGGTGCCGCCTGAGGTTCCCTGGCCTGGGTCGGGGCCTGGGTCTGGGGTGTGCCTTGAGGTCCCCCACCAATCCCCGTGGGTGAAGGGCGCGGCCTGAGGTCCCCCGTCAAGCCCCATGGGTGGGGGTTGTGTCCTGATGTCCCCATCAAGCCCCACATGGCGGGGTTGTGGCCTCAGGTCCCCTGTCCTGACGCCGGGGCAGTGGGCGCAGCCTGAGGTCCCCCGTTAAGCTCCGCTGGGCGGGAGATGGGGCCTGAGGTTCCCCATCAAGCCCTGCCGGGTGGGGGTGCAGCCTGAGGTCCCCTGGCCCGGCGCTGTGGCGGGGCATGGCTTGAGGTCCCCTGGGCTGGCGTCAGGGTGGGGGGCGCATCTGAAGCCCCCTGGCCTGGTGCCAGGGTGGTGGTCATGGCCTGAGGTCCCCTGTCAAGCCCTATGGGGGCAGGAGGTGTGCCACGCAGCCTCAGGTCCCTGCTGATTGATTGCTAAGGATCGTTATGGTAACTTGGCTCTCCTGTGGATGCAGCCATCTTGTTATGGTGTGATGGTCAATTTGCATATCCCCTCTTTATTAGATAGGATTATATTTACTTGGATCCTGTCTCTTTTTTTCTTGATGAGTTTGGTTAAAGGTTTATCTGTTTTGCTTATCTTTTCAAAAGAATTAGCTCTTGCTCTCTTTGATCTTATGTATTATTTTTTTAGACTCTTTTGTTTAGTTCCACTCTTTATTTCCTTTCTTCAATTCACTGTAGGCTTTGTTATTTTTCTAGTTCCTTTAGGCGATTGGTTAGATATTTTTTAATTTGAGATTTTTCTTGTTTCTTGAGGTTGCCTGTATTGCTATGAATTTCCCTTTTAGGACAGCTTTCTCTGTGTCAGATAGATTTTAGGTCAAATTTTATTTTCATTTGTCTCAAGGTATCATTTGATTTGTTCCTTGAATTCACTGTTTAGTAGCATGTTATTTATACTCCATGTGTTTGTGTGTTTTTCAATTTTCTTCCTTTAATAGATTTCTAGTTTCATATTATTGTGTTTGGAGAAGATACTTGATGTGATTTCAATCTTCCAAAATTTATTGAGACTTGTGTTTTATCCTTACCTGTGGCCTATCCTGGGAAATGTTTTATGTGTAGTTGAAAATAATATATGCTTTGTGTTGAAATGCTCTAAAAACATCAAGCCTATTTGGTTTAACATGTTATTTAAGACTGTTGTTTCCTCATTTTTCTGTCTGGAAGACCTATCCATTGATGTCAATGGAGAGCTAAAGTTCCCTGTTGTGACTGTATTACTGTGGATCTCTCCCTTTATGTCCATCAATAGTTGCTTTATGTATTCCCACATTGGATGCATAAATGTTTATGAGTTATAGCCTCTTGTTGGATTGATCTTTTTATCATTATGAGATGTCCTTCTTTGTCTTTTATAATAGTCTTTGTTTTAAAGTCTATTTTGTCTGATACAGATATTGCTATCCCAGTTTTTTTTGTACTATTTGCATGAAGTATCTTTTTCATTTTTTAGTTTCATCCCGTGTGTCTGTGAATCTCTAGTGGGTCTCTTCTTGTTTTTTCATCCATTCAGCCATCCTATGTTTTTTGATGGGAACATTAAAACCATTTACATTTAAAGTGATGATTACTAGGCCCATAGTTATTCCATTTTATAATTTATGTTTATGTTCTTTTTCCCCCTTCTTATCGAAGTTCTATTAACATTTCTTGGTGGTGAAGAACTCCTTTAGCTTTCACTTGTCTAGTAAGCTCTTTCTCTCTTTCAGTTTTAAATGATAGCCTTGTTTGGTAATCTTGGTTGTAGGTGTTTTCTTTTCATTACCTTGAATATTTTCTAATTCCTTCTGGCCTAAAAGTTTGTGTTGAGAAATATGTTAATAGTCTTACAGGAACCTCCTTGTAGGAAACTAAGTGCCTTTCTTTTACTGCTTTTAAGTTTCTCTCTTTTACTTTACTGTTCACCATTTCTTTTTTTTTTGAGTTGATAGATTCAGGATATATTTGAAGATAGAATCAACATGATTTTGTTTGACTGGATTTGGGATATGAGAGAAAGAACAGAATCATGAAGGACTTCAAGGATTTGGCCTGAGAAACTGGAAAGACAGAGTTGTCATTTATACTGAAATCGGTTAAATCTATAGCTAGATAAAAAAAAGTAAAGAGAGCCAACCAACACGGCTCAGTGACTGAGTGTTGACTTATGAACCAGGAGGTCACAGTTCCATTCCCGGTCAGGGCACACACCTAGGTTGCAGGCTAGATCTCCAGTGGGGGGGCATGCAGGAGGCAGCTGATCAATAATTCTCTCTCATCATTAATGTTTGTATCTCTTTCTCCCTCTCCCTTCCTCTCTCAAATCAATAAAAATATATATATATATAAGAAACTTCCTCAATCCTCTTAGCTGTTTAATATCAACATTTATAGTTATATTTCACTTTTTATTACTAATAGTGTTTATTTGTACCTTTTCTCTCTCGTTCTTATTACACAGAGTACCCTTTTTTTCTTTTTTCCTTGATCAACTCCATTAGA